CCCTCCCCGCCTAAATCGATAAGAGCGACATTAGAACGTATTTTGACAATATAAACATATATACTTAGTCGCAAAACGGTTTAGATACAATGAAATTGGAATCTCGCCAAACTATCATGATTGACTCATTATCTACGGGCTTGCGCAGTAATGATATTTATTATCATTATGACTAATTATATTATTGAATAAGCCCGTCGATAACGACTCTCAATTTTGACGGTTTGGCGAGATTCCAACTTCATTGTGTCTCTCTCTAAATCGTTCTTCAAACCGACTCTACAATGAGTTTCACTAATACCTTGACCAGACGAGAACTCACTAGTATATGTATTATGATTGTTGATTATTCGACTAATTTGTCATTCCGATAATTTGACGTATCATCTCGCTTTATATTATATTCAAACATGATATCTAGATATGAGAAAAACAACTCCGCTAGTGCGACTAATTTTTCTGGGAACTAAATGAACCAACTCGGTGGTGGGAACAGATTCTTGTAGCAGGATTTTATTCAGCCAATGGCCCTCAGTTTACCAGTTGTCTCAGCTGAGTTTTAACTCAGCTAAATGTTCAGATGAATATTTTTGGCCATAGAGATGTAATTTTTCGTCTGGTCCTCCGTTCAATCACACGAAATTTTTTCCCCACTAAATCCGATTAGAAGGATTAGTGAAGATTAGTGTTTTGCCTAGTAGGTATTAAGGCTTTATTAAAGCTCAGTCTGCATATATCAAAACGCCCTAATATCGCTCTTATTGAGGCTTTCTTGAAGCTTAACTGTTATATTTTTCCTTCAAACGAGAGAGAAAGAGAGAGAGAGAGAAAGAGAAGATCATCGCAACGCGAAAGTTTGACCGATTTGGTTATTATTCAGTTTTCAGTGTGAAAAAATGTCTTTTCTGCACGGAACTTATATTTTTATTGGGCATACAGTGCGGAAAGTTCAGATCACCCGTGGTGTACACATCCGAAGGGAAGCGCGTCTAAGGCCTATATTAGTGGTCATTATTTGTCTCAAATGAGATACTTAGATTTGAATTCAGAGTTAGACGTTTTTCAATTGGCACGCAATTAGAGATACAAAAATCGCATGTATATCATACAACACAACTGACAAACTTGGATCCAATTCTGAATTCGAATCCAAGTATCTTACATAAGACAAGTCTCAAGTAACGACTGGTAATACGGGTCTAAATCTGGTGCGTTCACGCAAACTTGTAGTTGCATTGCGCGCAATTGGGCTGCACGCAGGGGATGCCCGGCAACATGGGCGGTAGATGATGCAGTATGCCAGTTCTGGCTGATAGGCGATCGGCCACTTGGGCGCACACGTGCTCCCGCAGTTGCTGCTGTACGCCGGGACTGAAGTAATTATTGTAGCGGAAGTTGGTGAGCGCGAGAGTCTCCTGGTCGGATGCGGTCTTCGCGATCGGCAGGCCAGTACCGCTGGTGTCGGCCGTGACGACGCTGAAGACCAAACGAGACCGAAAAAAGATATGTAATATATCATATAAGAGATATATAGTGTCTTAAAGCTACATAGAGATATACAGAGTGTCTTAATACTTTAATAGTGTATTCTGATGCTTGAATGGGGGCTCGAAAGTATCATTACGAAACGGTTCAGAGGTATATCGATGCTTCCCGAGTTATAAAAACTTCGTGAACTGAACTTCACAAGGCGAAATGATTAGCAAAATTATAGCTCTTAGCTATTCTCAGGCGGAGTTTAATTGAACAGAATTCTAATTGGAAACTTAGTTATAAAGATAAAAACCAGCTACAAAGATAAAAAAACTGTTAAAACTTGGAAAATTACAAGTTATGAGACTTTCCTCGATATTTTTATATTAGAATTTTCGACTTGAATTAAGTATTGTGTGATAGGGGTTTAGAGACACTCAGTATATATCATACGATAAACATATGTATAACATATAATATCATATAATAGATATATGTAAGATACACATATGTGTATGACCAACAAATTCATAACAAAAGACGAAAGAAGGAATAAATGACAGAGTCCAATAAATCTTGGAACCGTGAAATTTCAGAAAATGAAGATACCTAAAATGTCTTTCTGTGTACATGTCTTTTGTAACATATTTTACCATATTACACAAACACAAGAAGAAATAAACGTGAGAATACTTTATGATGTATCAGAAATGTCTTACGTCTTTCTATGTTTACTTATAATAACTCAATACGAAAATGCTATCTTTTTCGACTGACATGTTCGCCACTAGCATCATATATATATATATGATTTCTCATTTCAAACTGTCAGAGTACTGTACTGTAGCAACTTTCCACGTCAAACCAACTTTTTATCCAGCGATCAATATCCTTAAATATTGAATACGTAATTAATGTTCTAAATATACAAGATGTCTGACGACGAAGAAAATTGGCGAAAAATCATGCGCGACATGGCAGGTGAGTTATGATAAGCTGCCATCGTATACCTGTAGATTAGTTTAAACTGAACAAAAAAATCCTCTACCATTTTGCAAAAAACTAGTGCTGTGCTGTTAACAGTTAATCGGTTAATCGATTAACTGTTAACGGCACAGCACTACAAAAAACCACGTATATTTTTTAGTTATTAATTAATGAAGACTGGCGGATGATCGCGTGCAATAATACATCAATGTTCTTTAGTTGTTTTTTAATGATTAAAAATCTACGTGATTATTTGTAAAATAGATTAGGTCAAACTGAACAAGAAATTCTTCCACCATTTTGCAAGTAATCACGTAGATTTTTAGTTAATTAAAGAAGATTGGTGCGCGACAATATATCAATGTTTTTTAATTTATAACTAAAAACATACGTACACGAAAAAAAGAAATGTGGTGCACCTAACAAAAAATATTTAGTTGTAAGCAAATAGCTGCATCATTCTACATATCTTTGTATAATAGTTATTAGGTGTACAACTTTACTTCCGCCGTTTTTTTTCCGAAATTCGAGGCTTTATTGTAAAAAAACTGGTTATACATTTATGATTCAAAGTATTGTCCATCGCTGGCCACTACTTTCTCCCATCTTTCGGGCAGCGTACGAATCTCGCGTCGAAAAAACTGGTCATCTTTTGAGGCAATCCACGAATCGATCCAATTTTTTACTTCTTTATAAGACCGGAAGTGCTGGTCAGCCAGGCTGTGTACCATTGATCGAAACAAGTGATAGTCAAAGGGAGCAACGTCTGGAGGATACGGCGGATGGGATAGGACTTCCCATTTCAACGTTTCCAAGTATATCTTGACCACTTTCGCAACATGGGGTCGAGCATTGTCATGCTGCAAAATCACTTTATCGTGTCTCTCGTTGTATTGCGGCCGTTTGTCTTTCAATGCTCGACTCAAACGCATCAATTGCGTTCTATACCGATCGCCTGTGATTGTTTCAGTCGGTTTTAACAGCTCATAGTACACTACGCCGAGCTGGTCCCACTAAATACAGAGCATGACCTTGGAGCCGTGAATATTCGGTTTGGCCGTCGACGTGGAAGCATGACCGGGAACTTCCCATGATTTTCTGCGCTTGGAGTTATCGTAATGAACCCATTTTTCGTCCCCAGTCACAATGCGATGCAGAAACCCCTTCCGTCTTTGCCTTTCAAGCAGCTGTTCACAAGCAAACAAACGTTCAACATCTCTCGGCTTCAATTCGTACGGCACCCAATTTCCTTGCTTCTGAATCATTCCCATAGCTTTGAGGCGTTTTGAAATGGCTTGTTGAGTCACTCCCAATGATCGTGCCAATTCTTCTTGATTTTAACACGAGTCTTGATCAAATAATGCCTCCAATTCTGCATCTTCGAAAACCTTCTTTCTTCCACCGCTATGCCGGTCTTCGATGTCAAAATCACCGTTCTTGAAGCGTTGAACCCCCC